ATCTCACCGACCACACTATTCCACCGACCAAACTATCCCACCGACCACACTATTCCACCGACCAAACTATCCCACTGACCAAACTATCCCACCGACCACACTATCCCACCGACCAAACTATTCCACCGACCAAACTATCCCACCGACCAAACTATCCCACCGACCAAACTATCCCACCGACCAAACTATTCCACCGACCAAACTATTCCACCGACCAAACTATCCCATTGACCAAACTATCCCACCGACCAAACTATCCCACCGACCACTCTATCAAACCGATCAAACTATCCCACCGACCACTGTATCACACGACCAAACTATTCCACCGACTAAACTATCCCACCGACCAAACTATCCCACCGACCAAACTATCCCACCGACCAAACTATCCCACCGACCACACTATCCCACAGACCAAACTATCCCACCGACCACACTATTCCACCGACCAAACTATCCCACCGACCACACTATTCCACCGACCAAACTATCCGACCGACCACACTATCCCACAGACCAAACTATCCCACCGACTAAACTATCCCACCGACCAAACTATCCCACCGACCACTCTATCACACCGACCAAACTATCCCACCGACTAAACTATCAAAAAGACCAAACTATCCCACCGACCAAACTATCCCACCGACCAAACTATCCCACCGACTAAACTATCCCACCGACCAAACTATCCCACTGACCACTCTATCACACCGACCAAACTATCCCACCGACCAAACTATCCCGTCGACCACACTATCCCACAGACCAAACTATCCCACCGACCACACTATCCCACCGACCACACTATCCCACAGAATAAACTATCCCACCGACCACACTATTCCACCGACCAAACTATCCCACCGATCAAACTATCCCACCGACCAAACTATCCCACCGACCACACTATCCCACAGACCAAACTATCCCACCGACTAAACTATCCCACCGACCAAACTATCCCACCGACCACTCTATCACACCGACCAAACTATCCCACCGAGTAAACTATCACACCGACCAAACTATCCCACCGACCAAACTATCCCACCGACCACACTATCCCACCGACCACACTATCCCACAGAATAAACTATCCCACCGACCACACTATCCCACCGACCAAACTATCCACCGACCAAACTATTCCACCGACCAAACTATCCCACCGACCACACTATCCCACCGACCAAACTATCCACCGACCAAACTATTCCACCGACCAAACTATTCCACCGACCAAACTATCCACCGACCAAACTATCCCACCGACCAAACTATCCCACCGACCAAACTATCCACCGACCAAACTATTCCACCGACCAAACTATCCCACCGACCACACTATCCACCGTCCAAACTATCCCACCGACCAAACTATCCACTGACCAAACTATCCCACCGACCAAACTATCCCACCGACCAAACTATCCACCGACCAAACTATTCCACCGACCACACTATCCCACCGACCAAACTATCCACCGACCAAACTATTCCACCGACCAAACTATCCCACCGACCAAACTATCCACCGACCAAACTATTCCACCGACCAAACTATCCCACCGACCACACTATCCCACCGATTAAACTATCCACCGACCAAACTATTCCACCGACCAAACTATTCCACCGACCAAACTATGCACCGACCAAACTATCCCACCGACCAAACTATCCCACCGACCAAACTATCCACCGACCAAACTATTCCACCGACCAAACTATCCCACCGACCACACTATCCACCGACCAAACTATCCCACCGACCAAACTATCCACTGACCAAACTATCCCACCGACCAAACTATCCCACCGACCAAACTATCCACCGACCAAACTATTCCACCGACCACACTATCCCACCGACCAAACTATCCACCGACCAAACTATTCCACCGACCAAACTATCCCACCGACCAAACTATCCACCGACCAAACTATTCCACCGACCAAACTATCCCACCGACCACACTATCCCACCGACCAAACTATCCACCGACCAAACTATTCCACCGACCAAACTATCCCACCGACCACACTATCCCACCGACCAAACTATCCACCAACCAAACTATTCCACCGACCAAACTATCCCACCGACCAAACTATCCACCGACCAAACTATTCCACCGACCAAACTATCCCATCGACCAAACTATCCCACCGACCACACTATCCCCCACACTAAACTATCCCACCGACCAAACTATCCCACCGACCACACTATCCCACCGACCAAACTATCCCAACGACCAAACTATCCCATCGACCAAACTATCCCACCGACCACACTATCCCCCACACTAAACTATTCCACCGACCAAACTATTCCACCGACCACACTATCCCACCGACCAAACTATCCCACCGAGCAAACTATCCCACCGACCAAACTATCCCACCGACCAAACTGTCCCACCGACAACACTATCCCACAGACTAAACTATCCCACCGACCAAACTATCCCACCGAGCAGACTATCCCACTGACCAAACTATCAAACCGACCATACTATCCCACCGACCACACTATCCCACAGACTAAACTATCCCACCGACTAAACTATCCCACCGACCAAACTATCCCACCGACCAAACTATCCCACCGACCACACTATCACACCGACCAAACTATTCCACCGACCAAACTATCAAACCGACCATACTATCCCACCGACCACACTATCACACCGACCAAACTATCCCACCGACCACACTATCCCACCGACCAAACTATCCAACCGACTACACTATCCCACCGACCAAACTATCCCACTGTCCAAACTATCCCACCGACCAAACTATCCCACTGACCAAACTATCCCACCGACCACACTATCCCACTGACCAAACTATCCCACCGACCAAACTATCCCACTGTCCAAACTATCCCACTGTCCAAACTATCCCACTGACCAAACTATCCCACCAACCAAGCTATTCCACCGACCACACTATCCCACCGACTAAATTATCCCACTGGCCAAACTATCCCACCGACCAAACTATCCCACCGACCAAACTATCCCGCCGATCACACTATCCCACAGACCAATCTATCTCACCGACCAAACTATCCCGCCGATCACACTATCCCACAGACCAAACTATCCCACCGACCAAACTATCCCGCCGATCACACTATCCCACAGACCAAACTATCCAACAGACCAAACTATCCCACCGACCACACTATCCCACTGACCAAACTATCCCACCGACCACACTATCCCACTGACCAAACTATCCCACCGACCAAACTATCCCACCGACCATACTATCCCACTGACCAAACTATCCCACCGACCAAACTATCCTACCGACCAAACTATCCCACCGACCACACTATCCCACCGACCAAACTATCCCACTGACCAAACTATCCACCGACCAAACTATCCCACAGACCAAACTATCCCACTGACCACACTATCCAACCGACCAAACTATCCCACCGACCACACTATCACTCCGACCAAACTATCCCACAACCACACTATCCCACCGACCAAACTATCCCACCGACCAAACTATCCCACCGACCAAACTATCCCACCGACCAAACTATCCCACCGACCAAACTATCCCACCGACCACACTATCACTCCAACCAAACTATCCCACCGACCACACTATCCCACCGACCAAACTATCCCACCGACCAAACTATCCCACCGACCACACTATCCCACCGACCAAACTATCCCACCGACCAAACTATCCCACCGACCAAACTATCCCACCGACCAAACTATCCCACCGACCACACTATCACTCCAACCAAACTATCCCACCGACCACACTATCCCTCCGACCAAACTATCCCACCGACCACACTATCCAACCGACCACACTATCCCACCGACCACACTATCCCACCGACCACACTATCCCACAGACCACACTATCCCACCGACCAAACTACCCCGCCGACCACACTATCCCACCGACCACACTATCCCACCGACCACACTATCCCACCGACCACACTATCCCACCGACCACACTATCCCACAGACCACACTATCCCACCGACCAAACTACCCCACTGACCAAACTATCCTACAGTTCAAACTATCCCACAGACCAAACTATCCCACCAACCAAACTATCCTACAGTTCAAACTATCCCACAGACCAAACTATCCAACCGACCAAACTATCCCACAGACCACACTATCCCACCGACCAAACTACCCCACAGACCAAACTATCCCACAGACCAAACTATCCCACAGACCAAACTATCCCACCGACCAAACTATCCTACAGTTCAAACTATCCCACAGACCAAACTATCCAACCGACCAAACTATCCCACAGACCACACTATCCCACCGACCAAACTACCCCACAGACCAAACTATCCCACAGTCCAAACTACCCCACAGACCAAACTATCCCACAGACCAAACTACCCCACAGACCAAACTATCCCACAGACCAAACTACCCCACAGACCAAACTATCCCACAGACCAAACTATCCTACCGACCAAACTATCCCACAGACCAAACTATCCTACCGACCAAACTATCCCACAGACCACACTCAAGGTCTTTCGATCTCGTTTCCAAACTTCTAAATTTTTTGTTCTTCAGCGGGTTGGACTCAAGTTGGGCTGGGGTTGGACTCAAGTTGGGCTGGGGTTGGGCTCGGGTTGGGCTCAAGTTGAACTTGGGTTGGGCTCAAGTTGGACTTGGGTTGGACTCAAGTTGGGCTGGGGTTGGCCTCAAGTTGGGCTGGGGTTGGGCTGGGGTTGGACTCGGGTTGGACTTGGGTTGGCTACGTCCTTGGAGTCTCTGAACGTTCCCATGGGCTTGGAGCGTTGAATAGGCTCTGCATTGTAGGGATGGGAGCGGATGGCAGGGTGATGGAGGGAGGGCGAGGGAGGGAGGCAGTAATGATGTGGGATGCTGGTAGCGGATCATCAATATATAAGGGGAGTAACTAGCCCGCCATGTCACTGTAAACCCTCGCTAGTCTCCAGTGCCAGGCACGCTCCCTATCCACCAGGCTCCAGTGCCAGGCACACGTCCCTATCCACCAGGCTCCAGGGCTAGACAGGCGTCCCGGTTCCTACCCCAACAAGAGACGTCTGTAATAGCCTTGAGTCCCCCCTTGAACCATCCTACCGCCCGTCCGGAGTGGTCACCTCCACTCTCCCGTCACAGCCGCACTCTCCTACGTCAACACAACAATGTGAGTACTAACTCTCAACTGACTCAGAGAATGTGAGTACTAACTCTCAACTGACTCAGAGAATGTGAGTACTAACTCTCAACTGACTCAGAGAATGTGAGTACTAACTCTCAACTGACTCAGAGAATGTGAGTACTAACTCTCAACTGACTCAGAGAATGTGAGTACTAACTCTCAACTGACTCAGAGAATGTGAGTACTAACTCTCAACTGACTCAGAGAATGTGAGTACTAACTCTCAACTGACTCTCAACTGACTCAGAGAATGTGAGTACTAACTCTCAACTTACTCAGAGAATGTGAGTACTAACTCTCAACTGACTCAGAGAATGTGAGTACTAACTCTCAACTGACTCAGAGAATATGAGTACTAACTCTAACTGACTCAGAGAATGTGAGTACTAACTCTCAACTGACTCAGAGAATGTGAGTACTAACTCTAAACTGACTCAGAGAATGTGAGTACTAACTCTAAACTGACTCAGAGAAGGTGAGTACTAACTCTAAACTGACTCAGAGAATGTGAGTACTAACTCTCAACTGACTCAGAGAATGTGAGTACTAACTCTAAACTGACTCAGAGAATGTGAGTACTAACTCTCAACTGACTCGGAGTGCCTCTCGGGCCTCTATACTAAAAGACATAAACATAATTATCTCAATAGTCCAGTTCCATTTTGAGGTCAACACACCCAAATTGTTCGTTGCTCATTAACTAGTCTTTATCAAAGGTTCCGTTCACAGTATTCTCTGATGTTCACTGTATTCTGTGATGTTCAGTGTTCTCTCGTGTTCACAGTATTCTCTGATGTTCACTGTATTCTGTGATGTTCAGTGTTCTCTCGTGTTCACAGTATTCTCTGATGTTCACTGTGTTCTGTGATGTTCAGTGTTCTCTCGTGTTCACAGTATTCTCTGATGTTCACTGTATTCTGTGATTTTCACAGTGTTCTCTGATCTTGTCAGTGTTCTCTTATGATATTGTTCTCTGGTGTTCTCAGTGTTCGCTCGTGTTCACAGTGTGCTCTGATGTTAACTGAGTTCTCTGATGTGCACAGTGTTCTCTGGTGTTCAAAGTGTTCTCTGATGTTCAGTGTTCTTTGATGTTCACAGTATTCTCTAATGTTTACAGTATTTCTGATGTTCACTGTGTTGTCTGATGTTCATTGCGTTCTCTAGAGTTCATAATGTTCTCTGATGTTCACTGTGTTCTCTGATGTTCACTGTGTTTTGTGATGTTCACAGTATTCTCTTATGATCTCATTGTTCTCTGGTGTTCTCAGTTTCTCTCATGCTCACTTTGTTCTCTGAGGTTCACAATGTTCTCTGATGTTCACACTGTTTTCTTGTGTTCTCAGTGTTCTCTGATGTTCAGTGTTCTTTGATGTTCACAGTATTCTCTGATGTTCAATCCGTTCTCTAGAGTTCACAGTGTTCTCTGATGTTCACTATGTTCCCCCGGTATTCACTGTGTTCTCTAGTGTTTACAGTGTTCACTGATTCATTGTGTTCTCGGATCTTAATAGTTTCTGTGATGTTCACAGTGTTCACTGATGTTCACAGTAGTGTTCACTGATGTTCACAGTGTTTACTGATGTTCACAGTATTCCATGATGTTCACTCTTTTCTTTGATGTTCACAGTATTCTCTGATGTTCACTGTGTTCTCTGATGTTCACTGTGTTCTGTGAGGTGCATGACCTGTCAGCAACCTTTGACACAGCAAAGAGGGACATCATACAGCTTGCCGAGCTGGGAATACAAGGAAAATTACTGAAATGGATAAAGGGCTATTTGTCTAATCGAACAGCATATGTTTTGTTTAATGGTGTAAAAAGCACAGAGAGCAAACACTTTGAACTGGGAACTCCACAAGGAGGGGTCCTCAGTCCCTTGTTGTTCAACGTTCTGATGCATAAACTTATTAAAGATCTTCCAACTAATAATGAGGACACTGACATTTGTTATACTGATGATATATGTTTACAGGCTGCCTCCGAGCCTAGAATGCAAGTTCTGCTCGACGCTTTTGCTACTAGAGCTGAGGAATGTGGCCTCCTTATCTCTGTACAGAAAACTCGTGCCCTCATTCCATGTGGTATTCTACCAGCCAATTATCATATAGATGGGCGAGCACTTGAGAACTGCGAGTCTTACAGATACCTTGGTGTCCCCATTAACGACCCTGGGTACCTTTCTTCTCTCAAGAGGAGACTTTGGGAGAGATTAAAGCCCTTGCGGGTCCTTGTTGGTGTCAATCATGGACTTAACGTGAGACTTGCTAGAATGTTTTATGTATCATTTATACGCTCTGTGATTGACTACAATGCTCTACATCTCACACTGTATACTGACAAAGAGCTGAAATCTCTTGAAACCTTGCAAAATGAAGCTATGCGTCTCATCCTTGGGGCTCCAAAGTCCACGAGAATAGTTAATATGAGAGCAGAGTTAAAATTACCTACCATAAGTGGGAGAATTTTGTCTATTAGTACAGTTTTCGGCGTGAAGGCATTGAGCAGATCTAGACAAGACATGAAGTTTCAAGCTGAACTTTCTAATATGCTGCACTCACCTGAGGTCTATAGAAAAGCGAAATCTGATTATGCATTTTGGTTCTACAAGGTAGCCAACTCCATCAAAATATTATATATGTACGCACAACTCAATTAATGATTAATCAACCAATTACTCCATGGGATAACTGGGATCTATCAGTTGATTTTGTAAATGCACCCAAGAAAGATAGTGTGCACACTACATTATTGAAACAGTTAACACTGAAAAGCATCACTGAGAGTACTCAGGGTATGGGCAACGATGTGTATCAGTGCTATACCGACGGCTCTGTAGAAGAAGGTGGACGATGTACCGGATGTGCATGTAATATATTTGAACAATCTTCTCTCGTACATACAGCAGTGAAGCGCGTCAATGACTGGGCGAGTACAACTCAAACCGAACTTGCAGGCATATACCTTGCCACTGAATTTGTAAAAGACAAAGGCAGTGGACTTATATACTGTGACTCACAGAGTGCACTCCTGGCATTGAACGCACATAGTAGTGACACCCAGAAAATAGTCAGTGATATTCGAATGAATGTTTTAGCTCCTAAAGAAAACAGATTTTAAATTAAATTCCTATGGATATCATCACATGTTGCCATCTCAAAGCATGACACTGTTGATATGCTTGCAAAGACAGCCTGTAGAAAACCAGTGGTAGAAATTGATATGGGTGTTTCATTAGCAGTGACAAAGAGAATACTTAAACAAATATTTAATGAAAATCTCACCAAATTCACAAAGACCTGAAAGTTGTAGCATTAAAAATTATGATAGATATCGTAAGGAGACATTCACATATGGGACTAATAGAACAAGAACCCGGCAATGTGATGTTATAGTGGCCAGAATACGCCTGGGATATAGACGTATCTGGCAGCTTTCTCAAAACCCAAATGTCGAGTACTCAATGTGTCAACTTTGTGAAAGAGAAAACATGCACTCTCTTGAACATTATATTGTAGAATGTCCCATACTGACTGACTTTCGCCCTCCTGGGCTAAGGTATGCTGAACTCTGTAATTACTATATGAGTACTGGAACACTTGATGATATATTGGACTTGTACCCTAGATTGACCATGTAATGTATCAATTATATAATGTATGTATGTGATGTAACTATATAACCTGAGCTTATAAAAGCATCTTAATCACATTCAGTGGTTAAGTGCTTAATTGCACACTAGTTTCTTTATCAGCTATCTCACCCTGTCAGAGTAAAAGAGACAAATGTACGTGTATGTGTGTGTACATGTGGCTTTCTACAATTACTTCCATTCAATACCCATTGTTTCGTGTTCTGTCTTGTGTTAGAATTTAATACCCATTTAATACCCATTGTTGAAAGATCGTTTTCACCTCATCCACCTCACCCAAATGTAGATATAAACTCGAAGATGTGCAAAGCTCTATTCAGTTTCAGTTGTGTGTTTGTAAACTACAGTCTTTGAAAATGTAATAAGTTTTACGAAACGTGCTCAAGTGTCGCGTCAGACTAGAAATAAAAAGGAATTTTGGAGAATTGATCTTTGAATTACCATCAACAGTGAAAAGAAACATAAGAAAGATAGAGAAAATTCGTGTTAGAATTATTAATCTTACTTTTTCGGTCATATTTAATAATATATATATATATATATATATATATATATATATATATATATATATATATATATATATATATATATATATATATATATATATATATACATATACATATATATATATATATATATATATATATATATATATATATATATATATATATATATATATATATATATATATATATCCACGACACCTCAGGTGTCGTGGAGCTTTCGCGTCGTCGCCGTTCCAATCCCTGAGATTCAGCTACCCCCAATCCTGGTTCATCGATGGGCACTGAGCTAATCACTATTTTCCCACACTAACCCTTCCACAAGGCGTTGCTCCTTGTCCTAGGAACGGTGTCGTCCTTCCAAAACCCTCAGTGGATGTGACCCGGTCACAGCTAGGCTTGCCCGCCACACCTTTCCAGGCCCTCAACGTACAGCGTCGCCGCCCAGCGTCGTCGCCGAATATTTTCCAAGTTTAGCATTCTTTTGCTCAATAAACTTGGTTCCTTTTTGCTTCCCAGAAGCACGGGGTCTCCAATACATAAGATGGGCTGCGATAGCCAGCTCTAATCCACTAAGAAAGGCTTGTAGAGCCTCAAATCCTTGAGAGCTGACCGAGGTGCGTCCTCTCGCCTTCACGGTCAGGTCAACTCTGACGTTGGCGTCGCCCGGGGCACTCGGTGACGTCATGGCGGGCTCTGATTGGTTGCCTGCGACCTAAGTTGGCCAATCCGTGATCGGCTAGTGTCCCTTCCAAAACGTCATATCTGCAGTAGGGGATACTCTTTCATTTTATATCAGGGCGCCAATTTCCCCTTACTTACAACTTATAAT